GGGATCAGCTGAAGGTCAGCTGATGCGAGCTTGACTACCGTGACCTGCCAGAACTAACGCTACGCTTGATTTTTATTTCTCAGTTTTAAAACATTATCCTTTTAGCTTTTTATTTTTAATCAACACATTGATAATTGAGTCCTAGTCTTGCATATGGATGTCTTCTCTTAGAAAAGCATGTTTGACCTTCAGTGTCACAGCCCTTTTAGAAAGTCATTGCCTGGATTTGAAAATGTGACGTGAGTCAAAGTGAAACATGTTCGACCTCAGTGTGACTAGATCTTTAATCATAACTACTCTTTTCTGGCAGGATCAAGAGCGGCTGAATGCTCAGAGGTGCGTGCCAGTGCTGCGCAGTCAGATAGAGGATTACAAGAGCGCCATCTGCCAGCTCCAGGCACAGAAACAGCGGCTGCAGACCGAGGTGAGCCACCAAGAGCTGGATCATCTCTCACACTCAGACACAGATCAATAATACCAGCAGTTCAGAATCTTCTGAGCATGACGTGCACCTGACAGAGACGCACTGGACTGTTGTACGATAGCCCAAATGACCAAATTAATGATGGACAGAATTTTCAACATTTTCAAACATAGATCAGAGCAAACAAGCTGGTTTTGATTCATTACCCAGGTTGTAACAAATTAATGGAGACCCAGCACTGTACAATTGCATATAAAACCAAAAATGATCTTACAATGTTACGTTAACATTTGTTCATATTACTACTAATGGCATAGGCCAGACAATATGTAATTATTAACATATACTGAATATATATATATATATATATTCAGTATATGCTAATAATTGCATATCGTCAAGCCATGCTTGTACTGTCAATTTTGATCAATATAATGCATACTTGAAGAATAAAAGTAGGCTATTAATTTCTTGAAATAATACTTACTGACTTACAAACATACATAGCCTACATGTTTAACAGTGTTGCTAACAGTGGACAGTAGCATTGATTTATTTATTTTTTGTCAGCTGTTACAGATAATTGTATTGTATATATATATATATATATATATATATATATCATATTAGAATGATTTCTGAAGATCATGTGACACTGAAGACTGGAGTAATGATGCTGAAAATACAGCTTTGATCACAGACATATTACATTTGAACAGATATTCACATAGAAAACAGCTAATTGAAACTGTAATGGTATTTATAAAGTATATGTATAATGTATCTGTTTTTCTAGACCTCTGTGTTGGAACAAACCATCAAGACCACACAAGAGAGCTGCGACGACAAGATCCAGCTGTACAACGGGCAAATCGAGACCCTCAGGAAGGAGATCGAAGAGGCCGAGAGGTCACTGGAGAAATACACCAACGACTGTCGACAGCTGGCCATGTACCAGACCTCTCTGGAGAACGAGCTGGAGAGGTACACGAGAATCATTGAGAATGAAGACAACAGGTGAGACAATGGGACGCGTGGTATGTCATGTTCCACAGTTTTATATGTGGCCTCTATATATATATATGAAATCTGTGATTTATGTGTAATACTGTTACATTATTTTATTATGACAATGAAGTTACCCTGTTTATCTTCACTGTTCTGGACAATGTATATATATATATATATATATATATATATATATATTAATATGTATTAAAATAATTTAATTTTTATTTGTTTAGGACTCTTGCTGCCACACAGTGGCAGTATAACTACATTGTCGTCTAACCCAATAAACCCAGCTTGTGTTTTTTTTTTTTTTTTTTTTTGGGAAA